CCACAGACACAAGCACAAATAAACCACTGGGTCACCCACAGACAAAAGCACAAATAAACCACAGCGTCACCCACAGACACAAGCACAAATAAACCAGTGTCAGCGCACAAGGACAGAACATCCACATGTACCATACACTATACAACAAGTACATAGAAGATCATAGCACTGTAAACAGGGTAGTTACCTTAACATTGGATCGATAGTCAACAGTTGTGCTCATTGTGCGCATTTCAAAGACCATGTTGCCATTACAGGTGGCGTTATAGTAATTTTGCGTAGGCGTATACTATATTCCTTTCAAATCATATTTAATTTCTAATTCATGCACACTAACTTTTTCACATTAAAGTTTGCGAATACCCGGTTATCGTTTCGCTGGATAGTAATACACTACAGTGAACAAAGTTCAACTTTAACATAGTCCAAGCTCAGGCAGCGTCAGCAGATACTGCATTGTGATTCTGCCTATGGTTTAAAAATATATCAATGACTTGATTGTGACCAATCATGAAACGTCTTAGGGTCATTTGAATTAGGTCATAGGAAATATACACGGGAGTGTGGAAACCACTGTAATAATTGTCGGTAGATATGCTAACAAATAAAGCATTGTCATATCTACGTATCCATATACTGTACGTTTAACCAATACACACCTTTTCAACTGGGCTATGTACATCGATCAAATCGATATTAGATATATTTATATATGAATAAAATGTTATATGAAAAGAATTTCTCTACAATTGTGGACCAGATATGCCTGTATGGGAAAACGCACTGCTCTTGAATTGTGTATTATTGAAGGTCGATAAATGTGTGCTAACATCACTTCAGCTGTCACGGTTCATTGCATTTCCTTAATTCTTTGTACCGTGCAATATTAACATATTATATACATGAATGAATATAAACTTGAGTTCTGAATTTGCCACGTGAATAAAAAACACGAATTGTCTACTTAACAGCGTTGTCAAGTCTATGCCCCGATGTGATACAACTGGTGCGATAGCAAAATAAACCCCTTCAATATTAGTTCCATTAAGGATGAGACACAAAACATAAATCAACAATCAATATCCACTTTGTATAAATTGGATACATATGATAATACATTTGAGATGTGATCCAAATAGTATTGTCAAAGGAGAAAAGATGTAGTGAAAATAACAACAATTAGTATGTTTATGACAGATACAAAAGTGGAAAAATATAAAAAGTAGAAAAACAATCAGGAAATTAACGTGTGAACTATCGATTCAATTATATGAAGTATTTTATCGATTTCCATATAGCTGGCTACTGTTTTCTTTTGTATAACCAGTAAATGATGTAAGCTGTTCGTAAAACATCAATGTGGATTTCCTATTTAAATATTAGTAAATAATGTTAGTGTAATCTAAAGCTTACGTGAGCTAGGTTTTATACTGTTGTTTGTGAATGTAAACTATGCTTTTTTGAAAAATTAATGCAGTACAGACCACAGATATCTGGTAACATAGGATAACACAAAGATATTAACGTTATTCATATCTACTCATCTGAAATGCAAGTAAATAATGTAAAAATCCAGTATTAAGTCATCTATATGCCGTATATATCACATGCCATATTAGACCGAGGATCCTCAGTCTATGCTCAGGATATACTGCTGAAGGCCTGTAACGATGAAGTCCGTTGTTGACCNTAAGTCATCTATATGCCGTATATATCACATGCCATATTAGACCGAGGATCCTCAGTCTATGCTCAGGATATACTGCTGAAGGCCTGTAACGATGAAGTCCGTTGTTGACCATCTTTTACACTGGCGATATTGCAATGTTGGATGTCAGTAACATGGCTGGTATTTGTGATTGATTGTGAATTCATTGTAAGATCCGGTAAACTGACAAAAAGACCACTTTTCTGTCTTATCGTATGTATAACCATAATAAGGCATCTTACTTAAGTTTACATCCGTGTCATCTTCAAAGTATTTCTTAACATTGTCTGTAACCGTTATTTAAGACATTTTGGATATCCATTGTGTTTTATTAACGTCCAATGAAATGTATAGAAATGTGCATTTTTGAAAGATTTGGCAGAGTTGATATGAAAATTTCAGGACAAGTTTCATGACATATACATGAAATGAAAATGAACTTGAATCCTTTTATCACACACACAAGATTAAATTTTGTCAACAAACGACTTCTGTGATAGATTTGGTAGAGTTGATATGAAAATTTCACGACAAGTTTCATGACATATACATGAAATGAAAATGAACTTAAATCCTTTATTCACATACACAAGATTGAATTTTGTCAACAAATGACTTCTGTGATACCAAACGACTTCAAAGACACAATTTTTGTGTTGATGTCATAATAGACCTACAGGTTACGACACAAATACATATCACTGATGTCATTTTAAACCGGTAGTACATGACAATTACATATAACATGGGTATATTTACTCCGTAACAAGGGATATAGGATAAATCATATGACGAAGGTTTTGTTCATTTTCTGTCTTAGAGTACATAAGAACACTAATGATTATTGGTACACACAGTTTCCTCATTATTTGGTTGGGTAGGACTGGAAGGCGGGAGCAGAACCCCTGCATGGAGAAAATAATAGTTTGGAAATCAAAATGACATTATTTAATTCTCGTTCTTCAGAAAATTGGATTGAAACAGCTCTGGTGATAGTTAAAACAAGTAAATCTCTTAAGGAAAAAGTATGAGTGATAAAAACAAATTTATCATGAATAATTTATAACATATAGCAACACATACGAATGGTTATGTGAAGGCGTCCATCACTAAAACTATATTCAGACATTTACGACGGCATCCGGAGAATGGAGAACTACATTATCTGATTAAAACAGTGGAATGTTTTGAGCTTTTCATAATTTCGTTTATTTTGCAATTACTAAATCAGTGACAAAAAATGTACAAGTGAACACATTGACACATTATAAACTATATATCTGATGCAATAATTTCAACACGTGAAAATGTGAAAATGTACGATTAAACGCCAGTAAATAGGTTTGAGAACATATATCCCGCCAATCACAAAAGTATTTATTAACATGTTATGCTAGCGGGATGTTGCCATGACAACTCAATGTGGTAACAAAATGAAGCAGAGGCCTTTGTCTGATATTTTATTAACAATTTAAACTAATACTAGCATACTATGGTCTATGTCACATATTTGTACATGTATTCTCATATTACACTATAATATAGTTCTATATACTGGGGCGGCCCTTCCAGCTAGTTGATGCGTGACTCTACGGCACTATAGAGATGGTAAAACCTGTGTCTTCTCGCCTCATTTTGCAGAACCCGGAGACCATTGATATCCTCTACAGAGTCCTCAGCAAAATATGGTTTCTATAATAATTTAAAATGAATCTGCAACTAATATTTCTTCTTCGTACAA